TCTGCATAACAAAGAGTAAACTATTTTTTACTGATCATCTGTGTGGCATATCTTTTCTCTAGCAAGACAGTGTGTGGATTGGTAAAGATGTGAACTATGCATGATTTTCATACCGCCACAATGGGCATATGGGATGTGTAGAGGTAAATATGCAATTCATACTTACAAAAAAATGGCAAAGGAACAGAGGAACAGCTTCCCGAAATATGATCTGTTTTGGGAAGCTCTCTGGCTGTGCATGATGGAATATGCAATGTCATGGATCAATTTCTTTTGAGTCAAAGGAAGTGATCTTTGGGAGGAGCAGAGTTATGGGGACACAGCAAAAGCCCTCCCAAAGGCGCCTAAGATGGCCGAGTGGTTAAGTTGTTGGACTTGAAATCTAGGAGTCCCTGTGCAGGTTCGAATCCTGCTCACAGTGCAAATCAGACCTTATTTTGGGGGTGGGATCATGGTGAGGACTACCAGAAGAACTAAAAACCCATGACTTGGATCCAATCTCTTTCTTTCCACCCAAAATCCTGCTGGAAATAGCAACTTCCACTAGTTATTTGTTATGTATATAATTCAGATTGCTTATTGTATTGTATGAGTGTGTATCAGTTTGCAGTTTTTACTCTTTGTTGTGGGAGGGGCTGCAGACCATGTGATCAGATCTGGGCTTGTTCCACGCTCAGACTCCATTTAAGATCTCAGACTCCACTGAACTTTCAGACTAGACAGAAACTCTACTAGACTCTCAGACAAGACAGATGCTTTGGACTTTGGATTGTTGATTATGAGAAAGATGGGCATATTGAGTATTCATGGCAAGTTTGATCCAGATTCATCATTGTTTGAGTCCACAGTGCTCTCTGGATGTAGGTGAACTACAACTCCAAAACTCAAGGTCAATGCCCACCAAACCCTTCCAGTATTTTCTGTTGGTCATGGGAGTTCTATGTGCCAAGATTGGTTCAATTCAAGCACTGGTGGAGCTCAGAATTCTCTTTGGTTGTAGGTGAACTATACATCCCAGCAACTACAACTCCCAAATGACAAAATCAAACACCCCCCCCCCCCAACCCCACCAGAATTCAAATTTGGGCATATCGTATATTTGTGCCAGATGTGGTCCAGTGAATGGAAATACACCCTGCATATTAGATATTTACAGTGAATGAAAATAACAGTAGCAAAATGACAGTTATGAAGTAGCAACGAAAATAGTTTTATGGTTGGGGGTCACCACAACATGAGGAACTGTATTAAGAGATTGCAGCATTGGGAAGGTTGAGAAACACTAATTTAAAGGCAAATATATTTGAAGGGAGAGTAGACTTTTTGGACAACTAAAAAAGAACACTTCTGAAACTCTGCTATATATGTGTGTGTTTTGTTCATTGGCATATCTTTGTCCCTAGCAGTTCAAAGAGATCCCTAGATACATCAGTTTAACAGCTGAGAAACCTAATTGCTTTGCATGAATACCATTTTCCAAAAAGGTTATGGCATCATTTTTCAAAAGGTTGCAACTTCTAACAAGGTCATGCCTTTCCAAAGATCATAAACTCTCCAAAATGCTATAGAGATTTCCATTTTCCAAAAATCTTTGGAGGTTTTTAAGCAGAGGATGAGTGGCCATCTCTTGGGAATACTTTGATTGTGTTTTCCTACCTGGCAGAAAGGGTGGACTGAATGACCCCTGGGGTCTTGCCCAACTTTGTGATGGTATGAATCGATAAGTTTACAACATAACGGTGCCCTCCTCAATGTGACTCACGTGAGCTTGGACTTCAGCAGGAAGCCGCTGATTTTGGTGAAGTTGAACTTCGAGTTGGTGTCCATCTCTTCCAGGCTTTCCACCTCCAGGCACCGAGGCATCCCAGGAGCAAATACATCCCACCTGTTTATTTATTTTTAAAAACAAAGAGTAAGCTTTGAAGGTAAGTTGTACTCAAGCCCCAACTTTTTTTGCAGCAGCCTTCCCGCTAGAAAAACCTATTGGGTTTATTGGTTGCATCAATGACTCTTAAACCTCACCATGAAGCTCCTTTAAATAATGTATTTTATTTTATTGGCTACAGAATGCAAGGTTTAAAAACCTAAATGTTAGGACTCTTGATGCTTAAACTTAAGATCGTCTGGGGAGGCTCTGCTCTAGGTCTCACCTCCTTTGCAGATGCAATTGGCAGAAACGAGACACGGGGCCTTTTCAGCGGTGGCCCCTCAGCCATGGAACACCCTCCCTAGAGATGTCAGATCGGCACCCTCCCTCCTAACATTTCGAAAAAGAATTAAAACCTGGCTTTTTGAGCAAGCATTTGCAAATGCAGTGTAACAGACTGATTTAGATCTACGGATCGATTGGAAAATGATTTTAGCAATGAGACACTGAGGACCTGTGTTTTATGGTTTTTATTGCTTCTACTACTTTTATATGGTCTATATTATATGTTAATGTTTTTAATTATATTTTATGTGTTGGTGACATTGATTTCCGATTGTAAGTCGCCTTTGGGTTGAGAGAGGCGGTATATAAGTATGGTAAATAAATAAGTAAATAAATGATTGAATTCTGGAAAGAAGTGAGCTATTGTTACGAAATCGGGAGAGCGACAGATAAAAAAACAATAAACCGTGTGTGTTAGGAAAGGTGCGGTTATTACAAAACCCTCGCATCCAAACAGGCTGTTTTGTTCTGAATGCAGAGTGACAACTACCAAAACACGCACACAAGAAAAAATGTAAAGTGGAATGCAAAGCAAACATCGTTTGCCAGGCTGTGTTTGCCAGCGAATGTTTACTTAGGAAAAACCCTGCCGATTTCTAGAGAAAGAAGGAAGGAAGGAGGCTAGGAAGAATGTGGGGAAAAAGGAGCGCCAGGAAGGTGTGCCTCTTGGAGTCCAGAGTCCCCTTCCCTACCTGTAAGCGTCCTGCCTTGATTTCAGCTCCTCTGACCGATGCTGGAGAAGTAGTGGAGAGTCGGCATCGTCACAGATCAGTTTCGCTGCATGGAATGAAAACAATGGAAATATGCAGTTCTACACGTTTGCATGGAGATACACACACACACACACACATATATATACACACACACTGTTCATTTTGAGTTTTGTTTTTGTTTTTTTGTCGTGTCAGGAACGACTTGAGAAACTGCAAGTCGCTTCTGGTGTGAGAGAATTGGCCGTCTGCAAGGACGTTGCCCAGGGGACGCCCGGATGATTTGATGTTTTTATCATCCTTGTGGGAGGCTTCTCTCATGTCCCCACAAGAGGAGCTGGAGTTGATAGAGGGAGCTCATCCGCCTCTCCCCGGATTCGAACCTTCAGTCCTGCCGGCACAGGGGTTTAACCCACTGCACCACTGGGGGCTCCATTTTGAGTTTTTGTTTGTTTGTTTTTCATGTCAGGAGCGACCTGAGAAACTGCAAGTCGCTTCTGGTGTGAGAGAATTGGCCGTCTGCAAGGACGTTGCCCAGGGGACGCCCGGATGATTTGATGTTTTTATCATCCTTGTGGGAGGCTTCTCTCATGTCCCCACAAGAGGAGCTGGAGTTGATAGAGGGAGCTCATCCGCCTCTCTCCGGATTTGAACCTTCAGTCCTGCCGGCACAGGGGTTTAACCCACTGCGCCACCGGGGGCTCCATTTTGAATTTTTGTTTGTTTGTTTTTCGTGTCAGGAGCGAACTTGAGAAACTGCAAGTCGCTTCTGGTGTGAGAGAATTGGCCGTCTGCAAGGACGTTGCCCAGGGGACGCCCGGATGATCTGATGTTTTTATCATCCTTGTGGGAGGCTTCTCTCATGTCCCCGCATGAGGAGCTGGAGCTGATAGAGGGAGCTCATCTGCCTCTCCCCGGATTCACACCTGCAACCTGTTTGTCTTCAGTCCTGCCGGCACAGGGATTTAACCCACAGCGCCACCGGGGGCTCCATGTTGTTTAATGATTGAAAGATAAAATTGTTTAATGATTGAAAGATGATTATGTTTAATGATTGAAAGACACAAAACGTGTTTTAATTACATTTTGATTTTTATACTATTTCAAAGCATTTCCATTCTTTCAATTTGCATTGGTTCATATTTATTTTTAGCTGCCTTGAGTCCTAATACCAAGAAAAAGGCAGGACTAAAATGGAATTTTAAAAATGCAAATAAACACATTCATTGCAAAATCCAAACCTCTTCTTCTCCAAAGCATTTCAGATAAGGGATCCTCAACCTGTATGGGCTTCTTTCATCCCATGGGAAACTGTTTCTACACAACACCAGTTAGGAAAATGGAAAGCGATGGGTTTGTTGGCTTCTCACCTGTCCCTTCCCTCAAGTCCAGGGTCCGGTACCCCTCCATCCATTGGTAGCATGGGAAATGGTAGGTCTCTCCTTGGGGGGTTGTGATCTGGACAAAACTGCAATACCAGCTGTCTTCGGGGAAAAAGAGGTAACGGTCTTTGTGGAGGCGGATCATCAAGAAGTCGCCCAGGTCTTGGTCATTGGAGATGTCATACTCATCCACCTGCAAAAGAGAAAAGAAAGGGCCCATTTGTTGTAGGTTTTTCGGGCTATATGGCCATGGTCTAGAGGCATTCTCTCCTGACGTTTTGCCTGCATCTATGGCAAGCATCCTCAGAGGTAGTGAGGTCTGTTGGAACTAGGGAAAAGGGTTTATATATCTGTGGAATGACCAGGGTGGGACAAAGGACTCTTGTCTGCTGGAGCTAGGTGTGAATGTTTCAACTGACCACCTTGATTAGCATATAATGGCCTGACAGTGCCTGGAGCAAACTTTTGTTGAGAGGTGATTAGATGTCCTTGTTTGTTTCCTCTCTGTTGTTGTGCTGTTGTAATTTTAGAGTTGAAATCCACAAGCATGTGGACAATTTCAACAGAAAGGAGGAAACCATGAAAATGAACAAAATCTGGCTACCAGTATTAAAAAACTCTAAAATTACAACAGCAAAACAACCGAGAGGAAACAACCAGGCACATCTTAACACCTCTCAGCAACAGTAATCTCATGTATACATTAGTCCATATGCTAATCAAGGTGGTCAGTTGAAACATTCACACCTAGCTCCAGCAGACAAGAGTCCTTTGTCCCACCCTGGTCATTCCACAGATATATAAACCCTTTTTTCCTAGTTCCAACAGACCTCACTACCTCTGAGGATGCTTGCCATAGATGCAGGCGAAACGTCAGGAGAGAATGCCTCTAGAACATGGCCATATAGAACCCAGTGATTCCGGCCATGAAAGCCTTCCACAAAAAAACAAAAAAAAAAAAAAAAAAAAAAAAAAAAAAAAAAAAAAAAAAAAAAAAAAAAAAAAAAAAAAAAGAAAAAAAAAAAAAAAAAAGAAAAAAAAAAAAAAAAAAAAGGCCATATAGCCCAAAAAAAAAAAACCTACAACAACCCAGTGATTCCGGCCATGAAAGCCTTCGACAATACATTATTATTATTATTATTATTATTATTATTATTATTATTATTATTAATCTGTCAGACAGGAATCCAAATGAAAAATCAGCATACTGTGGATAATAGAAAGCCAATTGGTCTAAATCAATATTTCTCAACCCGGGGGTCGGGACCCCTCAGAGGGGTCGCCAAAGACCATCAGAAAACACTATGTATTGTCATACTACTCATGGTGATCCCATGTCCTTCAGAGGGTTTTCTTAAGCAAGGGATACTCAAAGGTAGTTTTGCCAGCCCATTCCTCCAAAATATAGTCAACAGCTCCAAGGATTTGTTGGCAGTCTTTTTAAACTTGGGAAGGTCCTTCTATTTTGGACTCCCATTGCTGGGGGGTGGGGGGAATCTGGGAGTGACAGTCCAAAAGGATACTTTCCCCCATGTTCTATAATTCCATGCCTGCAGCACTTGGGAGAAAGGAACAAAGGTTAGATGTTGTGTGCTTGTTTGCCTTCACAATATCATCATGTTGGTAACCCCATGGATTTTAGGGTTTGAATGGGCAAGAAATAATCAGTAGCAGTTAGCCAGTTCCATCCTGTGAAACAGAACCGAAAGCACCCGGTATTGATTGATTGATGATCTCCCATCCAAGTACTAACCAGGGCTGGCCCTGCTTACTTTCCAGGATCAGATGAAATTTGGTCCCTTTTAAGGCATTTAGATCATTTAGATTCCAAATGCCACGATCTCATGTTGTGGTGATCCGCAACCATAAAGTTATATTTTGGTTGGTATGAATCATAATGTAAATACCTGATATGCAGGATGTATTTTCATTCACTGGACCAAACTTGGCACGAATACTCAATATGCCCAAATTTGAATACTGGTGGGGTCTGGGAGTTGTAGTTGCTGGGATTTATAGTTCACCTACAATCAAAGAGCATTCTGAACTCCACCAATGATGGAATTGAACCAAGCATGGCACACAGAACCCCATGACCAACAGAAAATACAGGAAGGGTTTGGTGGGCATTGATCTTGGGTTTTGGAGTTGTAGTTCACCTACATCCAGAGAGCACTGTGGACTCAAACAATGATAGATCTGGACCAAACTTGGCACGAATACTCAATATGCCCAAATGTGAACACTGGTGGAGTTTGGGGGAAATAGACTTGGCATTCAGGAGCTGCAGTTGCGGGAATCTATAGTTCACCTACAATCAAAGAGTATTCTGAACCCCACCAATGATATAATTGGGCCAAATTTCCCACACAGAACCCCCATGACCAACAGAAAATACGGGAAGGGTTTGGTGGGCATTGATCTCGGGTTTTGGAGTTGTAGTTCACTTACATCCAGAGAGCACCATCAAAACAATGATGGATCTGGACCAAACTCTGCACGGATACTCAATTTTTTCAAAAGGTTATGATTTCTAACACGGTCGTGATTTTCCAAAGATCATAATTCTCCAAAATGTGATTCTATGATTGTCTCACCGTTCCAGGGATGAAGTCTTTCCCCCTGTTGTTCAAGAGCAGCTTGGGGCTCTCCCCCTTGGAGCCCACCAAGGAGATGGAGATGGTGTCGAAGGTCCCCGAACCCAAAAAGTCCCCAGTGGCCACACGGACTTTGTAGACCCCTTTGAATATCTGCCCACGTTTGATATTTGCCAGGTGGCTCCTCCTGGATTCTCCTGGATTCTTCAGAGGCTAAGATCAGAGGACAAAAATGTCAAGTGAAATACAAGATACTCACCTAACCAGATATTTTTTCCATGTCAAAAAAGCAATCCCCAAATATCAGTGTGCCGGAGGTTCACCCTTGGGGTCAACTATTAGAAGCACTGATCCAGTGATATATATCATGGAGGAGAGAAGAACGGGCAAGTTGAACTGGTTTATGTTCAGTCCCCAATTGCAACTATAAACCAGATCCTCACAGGGACATCTGGGCGCCTGGGGTCAAAACGCCAAATCTTATCTCTCTGCTTTGAGCTGGAAGGTTCTCCTGCATAGCTTTGACTTGCAGAAAAGAATACCTTTGCAGGAGCCAAACATCAGCCAATCGACACCTGACAAGGAGCATCTACTCTGTGAAGTTAATGCACTTTGATGCCACTTGACCTGCCATGGCTCCATGTTATGGAATCATGAGATTTATATGATTGTTGTAGGTTTTTCAGGCTATATGGCCATGTTCTAGAAGCATTCTCTCCTGACATTTTGCCTGTATCTATGGCAAGCATCCTCAGAGACTCAACCTCCAAGGATACTTGCCATAGATGCAGGCGAAACAGTCAGGAAGAATGCTTCTAGAACATGGCCATATAGCCCGAAAAACCTACAACAACCCAATTATTTGAACCTCCGAGGATACTTGCCATAGAGGCAGGCAAAACATGAGGAAAGAATGCTTCGAGAACATGGCCATATAGCCTGAAAAACCTACAGCAACCCGATGATTCCAGCCATGAAAGCCTTCGACAATACATGAGATTTATAGTTTGACAAGGCAAGAGCATTCTTTGGCAGAGAAAACTAAAGATGCCTCTTGGGCCATCCAGTCCAACCCCATGAGGAGCGGCTTAAAGAGCTTGGCATGTTTAGCCTGCAGAAGAGAAGACTGAGAGGAGATATGATAGCCATGTATAAATATGTGAGGAGAAGGAAGGAGCAAGCTCGTTTTCCGCTGGAGACTAGGACACAGAGCAATGGCTTCAAACTACAGGAAAGGAGATTCCACCTGAACATGAGGAAGAAATTTCTGACTGTGAGAGCTGTTCAACAGTGGAACTCTCTACCCCAAAGTGTGGTGGAGACTCCTTCTATGGAGGCTTTTAAACAGGCTTGATGGCCATCTGTCTGGGGTGCTTTGAATGCGATTGTCCTGCTTCTTGGCAGAATGGGGTTGGATTGGTTGATCCATGAGGTCTCTTCCAACTCTTTGATTTTGCCAAGAAGCAAGAAAATCACATTCAAAGCACCCCCGACAGATGGCCATCCAGCCTCTGCTTAAAAGCCTTCAAAGAAGGAGCCTCCACCACACTTTAGGGCAGAGAGTTCCACTGCTGAACAACTCTCAAAGTCAGGAAGTTCTTCTTCATGTTCAGGTGGAATCTCCTTTCTTTCCTGTCATTTGAATGCCATTGCTCAATTGCATCCTAGTCTCCAGGGCAGAAGAAAACAAGCTTGCTCCCTTCTGCCTATGACTTCCCCTCACATTATTTATACATGGGAGATGTAGTTAGACCTTGTCAAACTACAACTCCCATGATTCCTTAGCATGGAGCTATGCCTGTCAAAACACTGCCAAGCTGCATTGACTTCTCCTCACATATTTATACATGGGAGTTGTAGTTAGACTTTGTCAAACTACAACCCCCATGATTCCATAGCATGGGACCATGGCTGTCAAAACACTGCCAAACTGCATTGACTTCTCCTCACATATTTATCCATGGGAGTTATAGTTAGACCTTGTCAAACTACACCACCATGATTCCATAGCATGACTGTTAAAACACTACCAAACTGCATTAATTCTTCAGTGTAAACGCACTCTAATAAATTATTTTCATTCATCAATTTCTCTTTTGGATCTTTTCCAGCTGTTCTCTATAAGACATTTGAAACTTTGGGTGCATCTGCACTGTAGAAGTAATACAGTTTGACACCACTTTAATTGCCATGGTTCAAAACTATGGAATCCTGGACCTTGTAGTTTGGAGGGACTTTTACTCTCATTGGCAGAGAAGGTGAAAGATCTTGCAAAACTATACCTCCCAGGATTCCATAACATTAGGCCATTGCAATTAAAGTGGTATCAAACTGAATTGATTCTAGAGTGTAGATCAGGCTCGGGTAAACTTGGGCCCTCCATGTGTTTTGGACTCCAACTCCCACCATTCCTAACAGCCTCAGGTTCCTTCCTTTTCCCCCTCAGCCGCTTAAGCGGCTGAGGAGGAAAAGGAAAGGGCCTGAGGCTGTTAGGAATGGTGGGAGTTGAAGTCCAAAACACATGGAGGGCCCAAGTTTGACCATGCCTGGTGTAGCTACATCCCTTCTGTATCTTTCAGATAGCAACAATAAGTAGATGATTTTGTGGCCTTTTTGGCAGAGGAATCCACTAAATATCCTTCAAATAAATAAATTCTCCCCTACCTAAATCCCAGAAGGAAAGAAAAACTTACCCGCAGGTCTTCTTGGAGAGGCACAGACGGGCTTCCTTTTCCTGGGAAACTGGTAGTCGTCTTGCATTTCTGGATGGCTACAGAGTTGGGATACCGACTCCTGAATAAAGCTCCCTTTTTCCAATGCTCCAAACTGTACGCTGTTCAGAAATGAAAGAAAAGCACCTTTTAGTTTTATTTTTATTTTTCAAAACTCTCCTCCTTTTGGCAAATATTTCCTGGTTCAGGAAAAGACTGGTTTTATTGACTCAAGCTTGGAAGGCGACCAAGATGGGAGTGATGATACAGTAGGTATTAAAAAGAAAGTATGTTTGTCAGAATGAATGGCAACAAAAAAACATCCTCAGGCCATGCGACCTTTAGATTCCACATTTGCAGAGAATTTATAGACCTTTAGGTTTTTTTAGGGGATGGTTTCAGCTGAAATGAAGGGAAGATAGCTAAGAATCATAGAATCAAAGAGTTGGAAGAGACCTCATGGGCCATCCAGTCCAACCCCATTCTACCAAGAAGCAGGACAATCACATTCAAAGCACCCCTGACAGATGGCCATCCAGCCTCTGTTTAAAAGGCCTCCATAGAAGGAACCTCCACCACACTCCGGGCAGAGAGTTCCACTGCTGAACGCTCTCACAGTCAGGAAGTTCTTCCTCATGTTCAGATGGAATCTCCTTTCTTGTAGTTTGCAGCCATTGTTTCGCGTCCTAGTCTCCATGGAAGCAGAAAACAAGCTTGCTCCCTCCTCCCTGTGGCTTCCTCTCACATATTTATACATGGCTATCATATCTCCTCTCAGCCTTCTCTTCTTCAGGCTAAACATGCCCAGCTCCTTAAGCTGCTCCTCTTGGGCTTGTTCTCCAGACCCTTGATCATTTTAGTCGCCCCTCCTCTGGACACATTCCAGCTTGTCAATATCTCTCTTGAATTGTGGTGCCCAGAATTGGACACAATATTCCAGGTGTGGTCTAACCAAAGCTGAATAGAGGGGTAGCATAACTTCCCTGGATCTAGACACTATGCTCCTATTGATTGGCTTTTTTTTACCGCCACATCACATTGTTGGCTCATGTTTAACTTGTGGTCCACGAGGACTCCAAGATCTTTTTCACACGTACTGCTCTCGAGCCAGGCATTGTCCTCCATTCTGTATCTTTGCAATTCGTTTTTCCTGCCAAAGTGGAGTATCTTGCATTTGTCACTGTTGAACTTCATTTTGTTAGTTTTGGCCCATCTCTCTAATCTGTCAAGATCGTTTTGAATCCTGCTCCTGTCCTCTGGAGTATTGGCTATCCCTCCCAATTTGGTCGTCTGCAAACTTGATGATCCTGCCTTCTAGCCCTTCATCCAAGTCATTAATAAAGATCCTGAACAGGACCAGGACCAGGAGGGAACCCTGCTGATGGCACTCCCCTTGTCAATTCTTTCCAGGATGAAGAGGAAGCCTTGGGGAGAATCACCCTCTGGGTTCATCTATTTAACCAATTACTGATCCACCTCACCGTAGTTTTGCCTAGCCCACATTGGACTAGCCAGAAGGTCATGGGGGACCTTGTCGAAGGCCTTACTGAAATCCAGGTACGCTACATCCACGGCATTCCCCGCATCTACCCTACAATCAAAGACCATTCTGAACTCCACCAATGATGGAATTTAAGCAAACCTGGCACACAGAACTCCCATGACCAACAGAAAAGACTGGAAGGGTTTGGTGGACATTGACCTTGAGTTTTAGAGTTGTAGTTCACCTACCTCAGAGAGCACTGTGGACTCAAACAATGATGGATTTGGACCAAACTTGGCATGATTACTCAATATGCCCAAACGTGGACACTGGTGGAGTTTGGGGAAAATAGACTTTGATATTTGGAAGTTGTAGTTGATGGGATTTATAGTTCATCTACAAAAAGCATTCTGAACCCCACCAATGATATAATTTGGCCAAACTTTGCACACAGAATGCCCATGCTTTGAAGGAACTCACTGGCACGAATCTCTCTCCAGCCTCACACGCTCTTCCTTGCCCCGCACATGTGCATCACGCTGCCATGTGCCGAGCACGCCTCCTCTCCCCTTCTCGCTTGGAGTCTCTGAAATAGCCCTCCCCTTGGCTGAGAGGCCAGCCAATCACAGTGGAGGAGAGCTTTTGGTGGGAGGACTCACCATGTGTTTCCAAAAAGGAAGAGAAGGACAGGCTGCGCGATCTTCAGCCTTTTCTGCCAAAGGGGTTACTCAGACCATCAGAAATATATGTTTTCTGATGGTCTTTGGCAACCCCTCTGAAATCCCCTTCATGACCCACCCCAGGGGTCTTGACCCCCAGGCAGAGAAACGCTGCTTCGAGATCCAGATTAAGGGAAGATAGAGTTAACAGTCCTTTGAGAAAGCAAAAGTGTAGCATTGGTTGCATTCTCTCTTGAAGATCTTGCATCGAAGGGAGCACCCACACTGTAGAATGAAGGCAGTTTTACTTCCATTTTTACTGCCACGGTTCAATGCTATAGAATCCTGGGAGTTATAGTTTTACAAGGGCTTACCTGACAAAGAGGGTTAATACCATGCAGAAACTACAACTCCCAGAATTCCACAGCATTGAGTGATGGAATGCAAGTGGTATCAAACTGCATTAATCTTACAGTGCAGATGCACCCTCTGTTCCATCGTATGCCCAAGGGAGTGAATGTTTTTCATACAGTCCCTTGACTTCCACACAGGTTGCACTGGTGCAATTACAAGAAAATTATTCCACTTTGCACCAACTATATGATAGCATTATCTACAGGAAATTGCAGGCAATGGCAATTTAAACAGTCCTTAGTCCTGGATTACAAAGAGTTCACTATTATTTTATCTTATCTTATTTGGTTATGGATTAAATCAGAACAGTTTTGTGTTGAACTGCTCAAAACAATTAGTGTATTAAATATGTATTGTGTCACTTTGATAGCTTAGTGGGCCTTGTTTACTTTTTTAATTTTGGCAGAAGAAGGAGTGTTTACACTTTAGAATGAATGCAGTTTGACACCATTTGAACTGCTATTGAATCTGGGGAGTTGTAGTTTTACAAGATCTTTAGCTTCCTCTGCCCATAAGTGCTGCAGCCTCAGTAAACTACAACTCTAAGTTGTAGTTTACTGAGGCTAAGTAAATAACAACTCCCAGCATGAATGCAATTTGACACCAGCTGAACTGCTATAAAACCTGGGGAGTTGTAATTTTACAAGGTCTTTGGCTTTCTCTGCCCATAAGTGCTGGGGTCTCAGTAAACCACAACTCTCAGTAAACTACAAATCCCAGAATGAATGCAGTTTGACACTACTTTAACTGTTATTGAATCTGTGGAGTTGTAGTTTTACAAGCTCTTTAGCTTTCTCTGCGCATAAGTGCAGGGGGGGGGGTCAATAAACTACAGCTCTCAGTAAAGTACAACTCCCAGAATGAATGCAGTTTAACACTACTTGAGCTACTATTAAATCTGGGGAGTTGTAATTTTACAAGGTCTTTAGCTTTCTCTGCCCATAAGTGCTGCAGCCCCAGTAAACTACAACTCTCAGTAAACTACAACTCCCAGAATGAATGCAGTTTAACACTACTTGAGCTACTAAAAATCTGGGGAGTTGTAATTTTACGAGATCTTTAGCTTTCTCTGCGCATAAGTGCTGGGGCCTTAGTAAACTACAACTCTCAGTAAAGTACAACTCCCAGAATGAATGCAGTCTAACACTACTTGAGCTACTATAAAATCTGGGGAGTTGTAATTTTACAAGGTCTTTAGCTTTCTCTGCCCATAAGTGCTGGGGCCTTAGTAACTACAACTCTCAGTAAACTACAACTCCCAGAATGAATGCAGTTGGGCATCACTTTAAGTGCTCGATGCTGTGGAATCCCGAGAGTTGTAGCCTGGTATGACACCTGCATTTTTTGTAAGAGAAGGCTAAAGTCCTTGTGAAACTATAACTCCCAGCATTCCACTGCATTAAGCCATGGCGATTAAAGTGGTGTCAAACTGCATTCATCCTACCGTCTAGGCGTGCACCCAAGAGGCCATCCAAAATCAACATTTCCCTTTCTTTTGGACAATGACAGCTCTGATATCCAAAAATGAAATATCCTGGATCAACTTCAAGGCCGATGTCTCCTGGTTTCCTGTTTTATCCCAAGATCCTGCCAAATGAACTCTAGAAAACCCCTGAAAACTCAGCATGAGAACAATCACCCTTCTCCCTGCTACATTTCAGCAACTGGAAATCAGTTTGCTTTATAATCACAAACCTTTGAGCTTCTGGGAGATGCAGCACAGGACAACGGTTTGAACTAGAAGTGGATCTACACTGTAGAATTAATGCAGATTTTTCACTACTTTAATTGCTATGGCAGAATCCTATGGAATCCTGGGAGTTGTAGTTTGACAAGGTCTTCTTTAATTGCTATGGCAGAATCCTATGGAATCCTGGGAGTTGTAGTTTGACAAGGTCTTCTTTAGCTTTCTCTTGCCTTACCAGAGTCTCTAAAGACCTTGCAAAACTGCAACTCTCAGGACTCCATAGCATTGACCAGTGGCAGTTCAAGTGGTATTCAATCTAAAGACCTTGTGAAACTGCAACTCCCAGGACTCCATAGCATTGATCAGTGGCAGTTCAAGTGGTATTCAATCTAAAGACTTTGTGAAACTGCAACTCCCAGGACTCCATAGCATTGAGCATTGGCAGCTCAAGTGATATTAAATCTAAAGACCTTGTGAAGCTACAACTCCCAGGTCACCATAGCATTGAGCAGAGGGAATTCATGGTATTCAATCTAAAGACCTCGTGAAACTAGAACTCCCAGGACTCCATAGCATTGGGCAGTGGGAACTCAAGTGGTATTCAATCTAAAGACCTTGTGAAACTAGAACTCCCAGGACTCCCATAGCACTGACCAATGGCAGTTGAAGTTTCATTCAATCCAAGGACCTTGTGAAACTAGAACTCCCAGGACTCCATAGCATTGAGCAGTGGGAACTCAAGTGGTATTCAATCTAAAGACCTCGTGAAACTAGAACTCCCAGGACTCCATAGCAGTGAGCACTGGCAGCTCAAGTGGTATTCAATCTACAAACCTTGTGAAGCTACAACTTCCAGGACTCCATGGCATTGAGCAGTGGCAATTCAAGTGGCATCAAACTGCATTCATTCCAAGGGCCTTGTGAAACTACAGCTCCCAAGAATCCATAGCATTGAGCCACAGCAGTTAAACTGGTGTCAAACTGTATGCATTTTACAGTGGAGATGCACTCCAGGACAAGAGAAAAAATATATTTTTTCAGAATCTGAGCAATATAATAAATATTACAATTTGTAGCAACCTCCCCATACATTTGCCCCCTTTGCAGGAGCCCTTTCTCTTGTTTTCTGAATGGAAAAGGTTGTAGAAAAGGTTAGGGATCATCACCTGTTTTCAAAGTCTTGTTGACATCTCTGGAGGCTCCATTCAGGATCTTCCAGCGTTCCTGCAGCCGCCAGAAGGCCTTCAACCTCATTGCGTTGGCCCTTTAAGACAAGGGAGAAAATTAGGAATTTATGGTGTAGCTACACTGTAAAATTAATGGACTTTGATCGAAAATTAGCTGCTATAGTTCAATGCTACGAGAACCTAGGAGTTGTAGTTTGCCAAGGTACCAGCACTCTTTGGCAAAGATGGCTAGCAACCTTGTCACAACAGAACTCCCTATCATGGAACTTCAAGTGGTGTCAAACTGCATTAATTCTACAGTGTAGACTAACCATATATCTGATTTGGTCTTCACCATAAAGATATAGTTTAACACCACTGGCCACTGATGGGAGTTAGAGTCCAACAAACATATGGTGCTGGCATGGGCAAACTTCGGCCTTCCAGGGATTTTGGACTTCAATTCCCACAATTCCAACATTTTACACTCCTCCCCATTGTGCTTTCCAGAGTTTGGACAAGTTCCTAATTCTGGACTACGACTCCCAGCATCCCCCAGCCAGTACATCCACTTGATATCCAGATACAATTGTCTACTGAGTTTTCTCTTATGTCAATATTTCATGTTCTAGTATTTGTGCCTTGTGGATTTGGGGTAAAAAATTGGTGGTGCTACAATTTCCAGAGTGTTGCTAGTCATACTGACTGTAAAATAGTGGGAGCTGTAGTCCCCCTACATTATTTCACACCCGACCCCGGGGGAGGGGGGGGGAGAATCCAAGATCTAGGGTGCAGTGGGAGTTCAAGTGGTATTCAATCTAAAGACCCTGCGAAACTAGAACTCTCAGGATTCCATAGCACTGACCAGTGGCAGTTGAAGTGGCATTCAATCTAAAGACTTTGTGAAACTAAAACTCCCAGGACTCCACAGTATTGAGCAGTGGCGGTTAAAGTGGTATTCAATCTAAAGACCTTGTGAAACTAGAAATCCCAGGACTCCATAGCATTGACCAGTGGCAGTTGAAGGGGCATTCAATCTAAAGACTTTGTGAAACTACAACTCTCAGGACTCCGTAACAGTACAAATGGTATTCAATCTAAAGACTTTGTGAAACTACAACTCCCAGGACTCCATAGCATTGAACAGTGGCAGTTCAACGGGCATTCAATCTAAAGACCTTGTGAAACTAGAACTCTCAGGATTCCATAGCATTGAACAGTGGCTGTTCAAGTGGTATTCAATCTAAAGACCTTGGGAAAGTAGAACTCCCAGGACTCTATAGCTTTGAGCAGTGGCAGTTGAAGTTTCATTCAATCCAAGGGCCTTGGGAAGCTAGAACTCTCAGGACTCCACAGTATTGAGCAGTGGCAGTGAAAATGGTATTCACTCTAAAGACCTTGTGAAACTATAACTCCCGGGAGTCCATAGCATTGACCAGTGGGAGATGAAGTGATATTCAATCTAAAGACTTTGTGAAACTATAACTCTCAGGATTCCAGAGCATTGAGCAGTGGCAGTGAAGATGGTATTCACTCTAAAGACCTTGGGAAAGTAGAACTCCCAGGACTCTATAGCTTTGAGCAGTGACAGTTGAGGTGGTATTCAATCTAAAGACGTTGGGAAACTAGAACTCCCAGGACTCCATAGCACTGACCAGTGGGAGATGAAGTGGTATTCAATCTAAAGACTTTGTGAAACTACAACTCCCAGGACTCCATAGCATTGAACAGTGGCAGTTCCAGTGGCATTCAATCCAAGGGCCTTGTGAAACTACAACTCTCAGGATTCCATAGCACTGAGCAGTGACAGTTCAAGAGGTACAGAACTACATTCATCCTACAGTGTAGTTCCACCAGAGTTTCCCCAACGTTGGTCCTCCAATGTTTTGGACTACAACTCCCAGCATCCCCGACTGTTGACCAAGAGGGTCTGGGAGATGAAATCCCCACCACCTCAAGGACCAAAGTTGGCAAGCCCAGCTCTAGATTGGCTCCTCGGGCTTTTCTCTCCCCGCAGAAAGGGTTGCCAGCTCACCTGTGCTTTGCTTAGGCTTACCTCTCTTTTCCCCCCGAAAGAGGCGGCGGGCGGGCGCTCGAAACAACAAATCCAGAGGCAGAGAAGCAGGCTCGGACGGGTCCCAAACGTGCAAAAGGCGCTCCCTCTCGCTCTCTCTCTCCTCCTGCCTTTCCAAACTTGCTCCACTCCGCTTGGCTTTCTCTCTGCTTCCCTTTCCCTTCTTCTCTTCCTCTTGGGAGGAGCCCATCCAAGGCGAGGGAGTGGCTGCCCTGCCAAAGAGAGGTCACTCTGGGTGCCTGCTGAGAGTCTTTCGGAGGAGCTCATTCTCGAGGAACTAGGGGTGGGTGCATACTGCAAATCTAATGCGGTTTGACACCACTTGGGATGCATGCATTTACACTGCAGAGCCAACGCACCTGGGCATCTCTTGAACTGCCATTGACTCTATGCGATGGACTCCCGGGATTTGTAGTTTGGCGAGGCAGAGAGAGCTTAAAGACCTTGTCAAACTACACATCCCAGGATTCCATCACATTGAGCCAAGGCAGTTCAAATAGCCCTCAAGATGCATTAATTATCCACTGTAAAAGAATCCTGACAAAGAGTCCTGGGAGTTGTAGTTTTACAAGGTCTTCGTAGGACATGTCTACACTGCAGAATTGCTGCAATCTGGCACCTCTATTGAATTGTGGGAGTTACAGTTTGACACCACTTGGGCTGCACATAGAACCAGTGCACTTGGGCACCACTCGAACTGCCATTGACTCCATGCAATGGACTCCTGGGAATTGTAGTTTGGTGAGGCAGAGAGTGCTTAAAGACCTTGTCAAACTACACATCCCAGGATTCCATCACATTGAGCCAGGGCAGTTCAAGTGGCCCTCAAGCCACATTAATTCTCCACCATAAAAGGCTTAATGACATAGAGTCCTGGGAGTTGTAGTTTTACAAGGTCTTTGTATGACATGTTTACACTGCAGAATTACTGCAATCTGGCACTACTATTGAATCGTGGGAGTTATAGTTTGGTGAGGCATCAGCGCTCCAGCGGAGAAGCTTAAAGACCTCACCAAACTACAGCTCCCAAGGTACCATAGCATTAAGCCGTAGCAGTTCAAGTGGTATCAAGCTGCATTAATTCTCTAGTGTTGATCCACCGTAAAACGCTTAATGACATAAGCGTCCTGGGAGTTGTAGTTTTACAAGGTATTTGTATGACATGTTTACACTGCAGAATGACGGCAGTCTGGCACCACTAATGAATCATGAGAGTTATAGTTTGGTGAGGTACCAGAGCTCCGGCAGAGAAGCTTAAAGACCTTGTAAAATTACACATCCCAGGATTCCATCACATTGAGCCAGGGCAGTTCAGGTGGCCCTCAAGATGCATTAATTATCCACTGTAAAAGAATCCTGACAAAGAGTCCTGGGAGTTGTAGTTTTACAAGGTCTTCATAGGACATGTCTACACTGCAGAATTGCTGCAATCTGGCACCACTATTGAATCGTGGGAGTTACAGTTTGACACCACTTGGGCTGCTGTAGAACCAGTGCACCTGGGCGCCACTCGAACTGCCATTGACTCCATGCAATGAACTCCTGGGATTTGTAGTTTGGCGAGGCAGAGAGTGCTTAAAGCAGTGGTTCTTAACCTGTGGGTCCCCAGATGTTTTGGCTTTCAACTCCCAGAAATCCTAACAGCTGGTAATCTGGCTGGGATTTCTGGGAATTGTAGGCCAAAACACCTGGGGACCCACAGGTTAAGAAGTTGGTTCAGATCTATCATTGTTTGAATCCACACTAGTCTCTGGATGTGGGTGAACTACAACTCCAAAACCCAAGGTCTGTGCTCATCACATCCTTCCAGTATTTTCTGTTGGTCATGGGAATTCTGAGTGCCAAGTTTGGTTCAATTCCATCATTGATGGAGTTCAGAATGCTCTTTGATTGCAGGTCAACTATAAATCCCAGCAACTATACCTCCCAAATGATAAAAATCAATCCAGCCCCAGGCCCCACCAGTATTCAAATTTGGAAGTATCAGGTATTTGTGCCAAATTTGGTCCGGTGAATGAAAATACATTCTGAATATCAGATATTTACATTACATTTTAAACATAGGCTGGATGGCCATCTGCCAGGGGTGCTTTGAATGCAATATCCCTGCTTCTTGGCAGGGGGTTGGACTGGATGGCCCATGAGGTCTCTTCCAACTCTAGGATTCTATGATTCTATAATTCATAACAGTAGCCAAAATTACAGTTACGAAGTAGCAACAAAAATAATTTTATGGTTGGGGGTCACCACAAAATGGGGGGCTGTATTAAGGGGTCATTTTTTAAGGGCATTAAGAAGGTTGAGAACCACTGCCCTAAACGGTTTGGGACCCGCCTACCTCCGTGACTGTGTCTCCATCCATGAACCAACTCGGGCCCTCCGTTCTTCTGGGGAGGCCCTTCTTTCGCCCCTGCCAATTTCACAAGCTCGCCTAGTAAGTACAAGGGAGAGAGCTTTTTTCTCTGTGGCCCCCTGACTCTGGAACTCACTACCTGAGAAATTAGGAAAGCTCCTACCTTAGAAACCTTTAAAAAGGACCTTAAAACCTGGCTCTTCCGCTGTGCTTTTGATGAATAGGTTTACACTCTCACACTATTGCTTAGCCTCAACGTTTTGTCATTGGAGGCAGGGGCGGCTCAACCCATTACGCAAAGTAAGCATTTGCAGTATAGTTGATTTTGCCCAGGGGTGCTCTTGAGACGCTCTTGGGGGGAAATAGACCTTGACATATGCGAGTTGTAGTTACTGGGATGTATAGTTCACCTACAATCAAAGAGCATTCTGAACTCCACCAATGATGGAATTGAACCAAATATGGCACACAGAACTCCCACGACACACAGAAAATATCTATCAGTGATTGGTTGGGGGGGGGGGGCAAAATACTGTTTGCTTACTGTTGAAAATTACCTAGTGCCGCCTCTGCTAGGAGGAGTCCGTCCCCCCCCCCCCCCTTTGTGGGAAAGCCTGATTCCACAACCCACACTATAATGAGTCCTCCTCCGCAAATGTCTCTCTCTTATCTTAATTAGTTTTAATCAGTCTCTCTTTTAATCATTACATGTAGCCCGCCCATTGTCATTGTGATTGTGCCTATTGTAATTTTATATTGCTATGTTTTCATATGTTTTATGTAATTATGCTGTTTTTTGTTTTTTGTTTGTTGTTTGCGTTTTTGGTTTTATTTTATTGTAATTTGCTGTAAGCCGGTCCGAGTCCCCATTGGGGAGATGGTGGCGGGGTATAAATAAAGATTATTATTATTATTATTATTATTATTATTATTATTATTATTTCCGATATGACCGTTGAGACAAAATCTGGCAATGGGTTGCTATGAGTTTTCCAGCCTGTCTGGCCGTGTTCCAGAAGCATTCTCTCCTGACATTTCACCCACATCTATGGCAGGCATCCTCAGAGGTTGAGAGGTCTGTTGGAAACTAGGCAAGTGGGGTTTATATATCTGTAGAATAATGTCCAGGGCGGGAGAAAGAACTGTTGTCTGTCTGAGGCAAGTGTGAATATTGTAAATGACCACCTTGATTAGCATTGAATAGCCTTGCAGCTTCAAAGCCTGGCTTCTTCCTGCCTGGGGGAATCCTTTGTTGGGAGGCCCTGATTATTTCTTATCTGGAATTCACCTATTTTCCAAGCGTTCTTTATTTGGGTTGTTGTAGGTTTTTCCAGGCTATATGGCCATGTTCCGGAGGTAATTTTTCTCCTGACGTTTCACCTGCATCTATGGCAAGCATCCTCAGAGGTAGTGAGGTCTGATGGAAGTAGGAAAAATTGGTTTATATATCTGTGGAATGACCAAGGTGAGACAAAGGACTTTTTTCTGCTGGGGCTAGGTGTGAATGTTTCAGCTGATCACCTTGATTAGCATTCAATGGCTTGGAAGTGCCTGGGGGGAATCTTTTGTTGTTCTTTATTTACTGTCATGATTTTAGAGGGGTTTTTTTTAATACTGGTAGCCAGATTGTGTTCATTTTCATGGTTTCCTCCTTTCTGTTGAAATTGTCCACATGCTTGTAGATTTCAATGTCTTCTCTGTGTCGTCTGTAGTTTGTGCAGTTTTAATAAACTTTTTCCCATGTTTTTATGACCTTGAGAAATGATGTCGATAACTCAGGAAGAAGAATCCTGTTCCGCCGTGTCCTGCTCCAAATGCTGACAGCAATTCCGAAATGACTGCTGAGACAAAATCTAGCCTTTCCTGCTGATAAAGTTCTAAAGTCAATAGACGACATGGTGAAGATGGGCCAGCTGATAATCGAGATAAGAAAGGAGGAAGCTGAAACGTTTTCCAAACCCGTGATGTTGCTGTTCATTGAGCCCAATGTCCTCTTACTAAAAAAAAGAGTTTCATCACACAGTGGCTAGATAAGCGGTGTGACACTACATGAAACCGCTGGGTGTTCTGACATGGCATATGTCCTGTATCAGAAACTAGAGCTGATGTGGTCTATCCGATGCAATTTTCTGAATCAACACCCCAAACCAAATCTAAAGTTGAATAAAAACTGATTCGTAACCCTTTTGGTACTAGTTTTGGGGACTGGTCCCTGGTCAAGTGGTCCCTGGCCAAAAAAGGTTGGGAACCACTGGTCTAGATCCAGGGAAGTCGCGCTACCCTTATATTCAGCCTTGGTCAGACCACAGCTGGAATCACACTGTGTCCAATTCTTGGCACCACAATTGAAGGGAGATGTTGGTTCTCAGCTGGAATGTGTCCAGAGGAGGGCAACTCAAAAGATCAAGCGTCTGGAGAACAAGCCCTATGAGGAGCGGCTTAAAGAGCTGGGCATATTTAGCCAGAAGAAGAGAAGGCTGAGAGGAGACACGATGGCTATGTATAAAGATGTGAGGGGAAGTCATAGGGAGGAGTGAGCAAGCTTGTTTTCTGCTGCCCTGGAGCAATGGCTTCAAACTACAGGAAAGGTTATTCCACCTGAACACTGGGAAGACCTTCCTGGCTTTGAGAGCTGTTCAACAGTGGAACTCTCTGCCCTCGGACTGTGGTGGAGGCTTCTTCTTTGGAGGCTTTTAAGCAGAGGCTGGATGGCCACCTGTCAGGAGTGCTTTGACTGCAATTTTCCTGCTTCTCGGAAGAGGGTTGGGCTGGATGGCCCACAAGGTCACTTCTAACTCTATGATTCTGTGATTCTGAAGTCAACCAGA